TCATTTGTGTTGTTCCCAAACCTGATACTCAAATGGAATATGTTAATTTTCGTGATGTTGTCAACACAAGAGAAGATAAATAAACAATGCAAACCAACAGAGAAGCCGTAGGAGGAAGAGCCAACAACTGGAAGAGAAGAGAAGAGAACCAACAGACCTTCACTGTAACATATTATCTTTCTCTTTCCATTTTCGGAGGGTGTCCCCAACTAGGAGTTGAATGGATTTTAAAAAATCAATGGATTCTGAAATCCGAGGGATTCTACAAGATTTGTGATAGGATGTTTTTGTGTATAGAAATCCATTAAAATGACATCCAAATAAGTAGTAATACAAAGTTGAGGACACCCTTATTTCGTACTCCGTATTTGTTTACTATGTTGCACCTACTTACTTAATAATAAAGTAGACCTTCAAATTCAAATTGATTTGTCAACTAATTTCTATTAAATCCAATTATTGAAATTGAGTGTTTGCTTATTGCATGTACTCCCTCCGTCCCCTTTTAAAAGTCCCGGAAGAGGGTGGCACGGGTTTTAAGAAAAGTGGGTTTGTGTGGTTGATATTAATTGATAAAGTAGGAATAAAGTAAGAATAAAGTAAGAATGATTTTGAACCACACAAATTTTACCAAATGAGGTATGGGACATTTAAATAGGGACATCCCAATATGGTAAAATGGGACATTTAATTGGGGACGGAGGGAGTAAGTCCCTATTCAAATTAATGTATCATACGGAATATAAATTAATTTAGTTACTAAAAATCATTAATGAAAATTTATTGTGCATAACCTTTCCTATTTAACATTTTCCTTTTAGTATATTTTTTGTTTTGTATTAAACCTTTTTCGTAAGAGAATATTACCCGAAATAGGACTACAAGGTTTAAAAATTCCAAAAATAGGACTGCCATGTTTTTATTCACAAAATAGGACTAATTACTGTTATGTTTTGGCAGTACCAGACTTCAAACATGACAGTATTTTCCAAACTTGATATTAATTACTCCTATTTTGGGAACAAAAATATAATCATGAAAGTCCTATTTTGGAATTTTCAAACTGTTTTAGTCCTATTTCGTGAACTTTCCCTTTTCGTAATGGACATGTATATCGTGTGTAGCATATTTTTAATTCAATTAGGCAATTTACACATTAGGTGGAATTCAATACTTTTATTATTTTATAAATATTGCGTTTTAATATATAATAATATATCCGTGTGTATACATTCTTGATCAAATGAAAAAAAGGCTTAATCTGTTTGGTAACATTAGAATTGACTAAATCAGTTGAATCTTCCAAAACTAATGAAACGCTGACTGAATTAGTTAAATATGTCAAATTACGGAAAAAACAGCTTAATCGTTCCTCTACACTAACACCAACCAATTCAGTTACAAAAGTAATTCCAAATTTACTTAGTTTGATTATTACACAATTCAACGTGCAAAATTAAAAGTAACATGTTTAGAAAGAATTAAGTTGACTGATAAGACTGAGGAGGTTAAAATAGGGACCAATAAACGGGCTCGTAATGTCAAAAAGGAGAAGATGATCTTCGTGCATTGAATTTGAAATTCTAGCTATGGCATCAAATTTCAAGTACCAACAATGCCGCAGTTTGGGTTAAAAATGCGGTGACATTTTCGTATATACGTACTTCCTCAGTCCCGTAGATAGGTTCCAACGCAGTTTACGATGTTTGACTGATCATAAAGTTAATTAATTCCTGTTTGGAATTACACTTTTTTAGTAAATGAAATTTTTAAATTCAGAAACTACATTAAAAGTTTGATTTAGTCGTAAAAGAAAAATTCGAATATAATAAAAGTTGGATATATAAAGTAAAAAATTAAAAAGATTTTACGTTGACCGGAGAATAGTGAATGAGAACCTTTGAATGTGACGAAGGTAGTATATACGTAGTATATTTTTTGTCATCATGAAAAGTGCACTATTGGGACCTAAAAGATTTCGCACTTTTCACTTTTAACCCTATATAGATTTTGTTCCAACTTTTTGTTTAGGAAAATTTGACAAGAATAGTCTCATCTTTGATCGATTTTCTCATAATAATCTCACATTTATGTAATCCCATAATAATGCCACATTTGCATATCATCTTCTTTCGTTTGACCCTGACCGGTTGATGATATACTATACCAAAGTTTTTATTCTCTTTTTCCGTCCTTTTGTTGTCATTTTTTTATATTTATTATTTTATTTCTCACTTTATTAAGAGAGTTTTATTTGTAAAATTTTCTTCCCAAATACTACTTCCATCCCTTAAAACTTTGTCAAAGTTGACCGGCATGGAAAATAATAAAGTAATTATTGTGTGGTTGAGGTTTGTGCATAGGATAGAGAAATAATACAAACCACAAAATAATTGATTAAAGGGGAAAGTGACAAAGTTTTTTGGAACGTCCAAAAAAGGAAAGATGACAAAATTTTAAGGGACGAAGGTAGTAGATTGTTATCATTTTTTCATTCCCGTATTTTGATTTCATTTCCTTTTTATGATTCTCTTCTGAATCATTTTCTTTTTATCAAAAATCTTTTCCCACTACTTTTTTTTTATAATTTATTCTTATTTTCACTTTTCCTTTTTTTATTACTTTTTTTTAAAGTTTTTTCTTCTTTGATCTTTTCTTTCTTCTTTTTTATTTAAATTCCACCAGCAATTTATTTTTTCTCCTTTCTTTATTATTTTATTTTTCTAAGTAAATTCACCCATGAATTGCACCGATTGTTGGAAAAACTCTATGTGATAAAAAAATCAGGGAAAAATAAAATTTAAATAAAAAAAATCGGGAAATTCAAAGATAATAAAACATTCAGGAAAATGAAAACTTTTCTTTCTTGCTTAATTACATTTTCACGAATGATTTAATTTTCTTTCAATTTTATCTTTCCCCAATCTTTTTGTCGGAGTTTTTCTCATAGTTGATGGAGTTAATGAGTGAACTTACTTAGAAATATAATAAGCCATAGAATTGGAAAGGCAACACCCTAAATGGTGTTAGCTAACACCCTTTACACTTATAATTGTAAGCCATAGCTATGGCATATTAATATTAGATAATATTAATTAATAAGCTATGGCTTACAAAAGTGTAAGCCATATCAATTATAATATTAGATAAAACATTAATAAATTTGCATGATAATATCAACAAAAGTGTCAAGGGTGTTAGCTATGGCTTACATTTCTGTATTTACCTAAATGTCCCCAGTCTTGAGCCATATTAATTCAACAAAAATGAATTAGATAAATTCTTAATATTAGAATTGTATTTTCACCATATATATTCTCCCCCTTTATTATATTTTTCCTTCTTTATTTCGCCTATAAAACGATCAAATATGTCCATTTAGCTATGCACTTTTAATATGATGATTTTGCATATTGTCACAAACAAATATTATGAATATGTTTATGATGTGGTCCTTTTAAAATTTTAACTATGCACACTTATTGTATGATTATTCACACTATAAAAAGTCGAATATATAAAGAGTCACCAGTGTTTCTTATTTATTCGAGAGCAAATGCCAAATAATTATTAAATCGTTAATTTCCATTGTCTTGAAAATCTATCTACCTTAATTGAATATTGTGAAAATGTTTTCGAAGCAATAAGCAATATAAAAGTGCACCTAATAAGTATTTAAAAACAAGAGTAGAAAATCAAATTTAATGTGTCGAATATTTATCGTATAGTGCATTGGAGAGCGTACAAAAGTATATCAAAGTGTATAGTGTTTGTTATATAATCAAGTGTGGAATGTATAAAGGTGCACCTATTAAAACTTAAAAAAGTGTATGTAGAATGTTCACTATTATGCAACTTATCCCATTATACAATTAGAAGTAAAATTAATTGAAATGTGATGCATAATGATTGTAGCATAAGTGCATACACAGAAATATCAATATACTATAAGATATACAAATTTGTAACTAAATATTTTGAAAGTGAGAATATGTGAATCATAAGCATTTATGTTTCATTGTCATATCTAACATTTAAAAATGTTTCACATCATACATTAGAACTTCTATTCTTTATTAAAGCAAGAAAACAAGAACATAATTCCACATATGACCTAACTACCAATCATCCCTGTCTTTGAGAAGTTTAATTTCTTTTCAAGCATATATGACAAATTTTCTTAAGATTTACTAGTACTCCCTCCGTCCCAATTTGTTTTGCAAAGTCAACAATTTTTGGTCAACCAATAATAAAAGTCAACCCTCCGTATGAATAATTAATTCTGTTTTTAATAATTAAAATTTATATATTCAAAAACTACGTTAAAATCTCTTCAAAGTTGTAAACTCCAAATTAGAATATAATTAAAAATTGACATCCTAATTAAGTGAACAAAACGAGACTGTTTGACTAAGAAAAGTCAAATTTGCAACTATTTTTGGGACGAAGGTAGTATTATTTTATACGTTAGGTGCCTTTTTAAACATAACTCATAAACTCAAAATATTATTTTCTAAAGTATGACAATATTAATATTGTATTGTCAATTGTTATTTACCGTACATCAATTTTTATGTTACATAAATTGAAGAGTAGCCACATAATTTAAAATTTTACCCCGGACAACACCCAAGTAAAACACTAGTTTAAAATCAAAATATCACAAGTTACACATCCTCAATCTCCATAATTAGACAAACAGTAACAAATTACAATAAACTGGAACCACCAATTTAACAAATTTCTAGTTGATCTTTACCGGTGGGCGTAACTCAACTGGTAGCAAAGTAGTGCCACAAGGGTTAGGTCTCGGGTTCGAATCCCGGCAACTGCAATGAGTGGTTACTATGTTGAAAAATACATAGGGCCTCTGCAAGTACCGGGGACAGAGCCACACTCTCTATCTGTCAGATTGTGATTATAGTCCAATTTACATCCAACCATCCTGCTGTTAGGGATGGGGTGTCATCTTTTTCTAGCTGATCTTTACTGAACTAAGCAAACCGCGCAAGGGGGTGTGGGGTGGGGGTGTGGGTTCTTGCTCACCCACGCTTTTCTTCTTACCTCCACAGATGAATTCCTAACAGTGAGCAGGAAGAACTGGTCTTTTGTTGGGTTGTCATCCCGTACGAAAAAAGCTAAAGAAATGCAGCAGCTATTGGCTCTTCGCAATTCTAATCCTCTCGTTAAGGGAGCGATCAAGATACCCTTGTTGCCTGTGCTTGACAGTTCAGCTTGTTTGTCTTTTGTACCCGCAAGAACTAGACTTGTACATGCATCTATGTGTAAGTTCTTAAACATCCTTCTCTTTTATCTTAATAAAATAAAGTAACAATCTTTGCAAAACTAAATTAACAATAATAACACACACACACACCCCACCCCACCCCCAAACTCCCTTGCGCGGTTTGGTTAGTTCAGTAGAGTGTCACAAAGATCAGCTAGAAATTTGTTAAATTGGTGTTTCCAGTTTATTGTAATTTGTTACTGTTTGTCTAATTTGGGGGATTGAGGATGTGTAACTTGTGAATTATTGATTTCAAATGTAACATCCGGGAGGTGTGTTAAAGCTAACACCCTTTACACTTTTGTTGATATTATCATGCAAATTTATTCAATTTTAGATGTCCAGGTACTGTCTATAATAAGCCATTGATATGGAAATCCATTGATGTCTATTTAGAGTTGCATATATAACTGTGTTTGTTTAGTCTGTAATGAGATTCAAGGGAGAAGCATCCGAGGTGGCCATCTATTTCTACCTATTGTTAAACAACTGTTCTGTTCTGAAGAGATTTAAACGCGATATTGGTAGGAAGGACTTGTGGTTGTCTTAGACTTTATTTTTAAAAAAAATGACACGCCTGTGAGTTGCTTTGACTTTTTTATATAAACAGTTTTTATTATTTTCATTGATTCGTCAATGTGTGGGAAATTGCTTACTGGGAAGTGGTTTCTTAAATTACCCATGTCTTACTTCTATTTGTAGTAATTTCTTAAATTACTTTATTATGTATAGTTGATCTGCATTGACCTTGATTTGCAGCAAAAAGATGGAAACTACCACAGCTGCACTGCAGAAGAGCATCTAATGCTGGCATCGGATTAGCAGGAAGTTATGAAGGATTTAGTGAACCTCCTGGTGATACTTCAGCTAAAGAGTGAGCCATCTTTTGCATTTGATATAATAAATGAATGATTGTCTTCTTCAATACACACACACATATATATTTATATATTTTTATATTAGCACTTTAAATTTAGTGCCACCTACCACAACTAGCTGAGCTTAAGGTGCTGATGATGATAAATGAATAATGTGTTCCACTTAGACTAAAACATTATGTTGTTAGTAATGATAAACAAGTTTTATTTTATATTATCATGAAGAGGTGCTCTTATGACGGAGTAGATATTGTATGCCTCAGTGCCAAACATGTGAATATTGATGAGTAGCATACAAATCGAAACCACTGACATTATGCAAACTTTGATCCATATTGAAAGTGTGTTCCACCTCAACCAAAAACTTAAGCCGTTTGTATGGATCATCTATTTAGTATTTTATGTTTCTTCTTCATAATCTTTTTAGAATCCTTTGCAATGTCATATGCAACTCCATTATGAATGTTCTGAATGGTACATGCTATAAACCAAAATCAAACTTTCATGATGTGTGTGTGTGTGTGTGTGTGTGTGATTCTGCTAGAAACTTATGTATATTGCCTTTCCTGGATGGTAGTGAACAGCTTCCCGGCCAATTCCCTTATCCTCTGTCTATAGCACTAGTGTTATGTGGATGTGCTATAGTATTTTCATTGATTGCCTTTGTGAAAAGAGGGCCTTCGTTGACCTTAACAGCATTTTCAAAGTCAGGCTTTGCTGCCGCATTCTCACTCATATTTGTTTCTGAAATTGGGGACAAGGTACATATAATTAATCATCTGATAGTATTATTATTATGTTGCAATGCCAATCTTTTATTTAAAGGGACACTTATGTTACTACTTGAATTATGTCCTATACTTTTATCTCAACATTTCTTGTTTTAACACTAATTTTGCAGACTTTTTTCATCGCTGCACTATTAGCAATGCAGTACAAAAGACTATTGGTATGACCTCAAATTATCTCGCTCTCTCCTTGATTATGCAGTTTTAGTTTGTTCAAAATTTTCATTTGAGATACTTTGTCTCTCCCATATCCCCTCCCCACACAATTAAGTTCATAAATATAAGATCACCTATTATTAGTAGTAGTAACTAAACTTAAATACTACGTATTTGAGCGCTGCATCTTAAAACTTAATGCTTTCTTAGCATGAATCATTGAACTCAATTCAACTGAACATGCTGTTTCTTTTTACCTCATATTTTGTGTTACTTAAGATTATTTATACATAGCCTGTTGTGCACTCAGATTGACATTATGCATTGGAGAGATTACCACAAGTATATATAGGATCACAAACCATTAGAAACAACAAAATCCTCTTATGTTGCTTATAAGTGTTTAACTTGGTCCAAAAATACTATATTTTCATTTGATGGATGTAAGAATAGTTCTTAAGCTTAAGAAGTGTGGATCAGGTACTGGTGGGATCAATGGGAGCTCTTTCACTTATGACAGTCATATCTGTCATAATAGGAAGGATCTTTCACTCTGTACCTGCTCAGTTTCAAACAAGTAAGTTTCAGACCTTCACATCTTCTGCTCTCTGTACAAATCCACTTGTATTCTTCTTCCTTCAATCAAACTGGTATAACCTAGTCGCCTACTTTCTTATATCTGTAAACCATCTCCCTTTCACTTTGCACACTTTTGAAAGGACAGAGTCACATATATGTATATATCCTGGAGTGACACCTTAAAAGTTCTAATTACTTTCCTTTTTCAGCATTGCCTATTGGAGAGTATGCGGCAATAGCACTTTTATTATTCTTCGGCGCCAAGTCTATCAAAGATGCATGGGAACTTCCATCTGAAGAGGTTAAAGGAGGCGATGAATATGCTGAGGCTGAAGTGCTTGTGAAAGAAAAGGTGGGTTGACTATACATGTAATCAAGCACTTAAGTCCTATAGGGTCTGTTTGGATGAAGAATTTAGGATGGGTTTTGTAGGCTTAGTCTTATATCTCGTCGTGATATATATTTGAGATCTTATAATGATGGAAAGGTTGACAAAGTATGTGATCGTATAACATTTCAGTTGCCATTTAATCATTTGTAGAAACATTCTGTGTATCAAGGTTATACAGGCTAAGACTTTAAGAACTCCAAAGTCTTCCCTTCCAAAACCCTTCATTCAAACAAAGCCTTACTGTGCTTCTCTTTCTGATATTTATTTGTTCAGGCATCAAAGCGACTCTCAAGTCCACTTGAAATTCTGTGGAAGTCATTCAGCCTTGTATTTTTTGCTGTAAGAACCTCCTACCCTTTTTTTAATAAATATTTTTACATGAATCACAAAATCTTGAATTTGTAGGACTTGGATAGGAGTTGATTTGTGGCATACCCAATCCATATTCCATAAATTGAGTTTTTTTTTTTTGCCATGTGTGTGTAGGAGTGGGGAGACCGCTCTATGCTGGCAACAATAGCTCTAGGCGCAGCACAGGTTTACCGTTTACATACTGTCTCTTCTTAGTATTTTTATTATATTGAGTGCGGTGGGGGGGGGGGTGAGTTCATTATCGAGTATAGTAATTTGTATAAGTATATGCATTGAATGGAGAGTGGGATATCTGTTATGCAGTCTCCATGGGGAGTAGCAGGTGGGGCTATCGGTGGGCACTTGATTGCAACATCTCTTGCAATACTTGGAGGTGCATTTCTTGCCAAGTACATTTCAGAGAAGCTGGTATGCATCATATACTGGATATATGAGTCCTTTTTAAAATAAAGGAAAAACATGATTCCATAGGGATTCCTAACTGTCAAAATCTTGCTGGCGCCTAGGTGGGCTACATCGGTGGAGCATTGTTTTTGGGTTTCGCTGCAGCCACGTTCCTCGGTGTCTTCTGAGAATTGATATTTTCACACATCATCATGAGAAGATGAAAAGATAGTTCATATGCAAAGAGTCGCGCAGAACTACTTAAAGGAAGTGAAAGCCCAAGACAAAATATGTTCTACTTGGGCATTGGAGGAGTACATTATAGAGCAATTGGTTTTGTATCATCATCAAATCATGCATGGAAAAAGGGAGACCTTTGTAGGGAACTTTTGGGATCCTAACCCGGAAATGATGTAATTATTGTGTACTATATTTGTAAACACTTATTTTTTACACTTGTAAAATGCGCAGTAATATGTATTGACCTATGTACATCATAATGCATATGAAGTATCATTTCCTTGAAATAGGCCTAATGATCAGACCTTCACAATTGCCCCATTTATGATAAAATATTGCAGTAAAAAACATATACTCCATACTTTATAGGTTATAATCAAAATTATTATAATATGTTAAGTCAATAAGAAAAACGGACATGAATAATACTAACTATTGCTTGAAATAATTTACAGTATCAATTTTTTCAAAATAATATTAGCTATTGAAAAAAATTCTCAAAATATTCTAGTGACTTACAGTAACTCGTAAACTGCTAATAATATTAATGAGTCAATGGAACATTTTTAGAATGTTTTCGATAGTTGGAATTATTCTTGTTCATTTTTCCAAGTCCAAAAGGGACAATCTTCCATTAATTTAACAATCATTTGAATGTTGATATAATACATTTTGAAATTATAGAATATGTTATAATGGTACTAAACTACTAATTATTTGGACTCAACAATTTAAAGTTATTTGAGTTCAAATACATAAATATAGTTGTTTAAAAAAATATGCTAACTACCGATGAGAGCCTATATCATACAACCGGGTGTACATACACCCGGCCCAACTAAGGAAGACAGCCCAACAATCAATACATGTCAATTTTTTTTCGGTGGCAATTTTGTAATTTAAGCGAAAAATCACGGCTTCAACTAAATGAGCAATAGTGTAATTTTAGTGAGTAATCTGGCCTATTTTATTGAGTATTAGGAGACTAACAATGAGTTCATGATATTTGCTTCATATATTCTAATTCTCTTTCTTTTTCTTATTTTTTCTTTTATAAAAACTTATTAAATTATATCTGTAATCCACTCTTATAATATGCATTGATATGACATTGTGAAAACGAGCTTTACATCAGTACCAAATGAGCATACATGATCACAAAGTGTACATTGATATGAAAATCGTTAGGTTTTGTTAGTTGAACATCACGAAGTTTTAATTGAGCATCAAACATCTGATATTGAAATGAAAACCACATTTACGTTTCTTGTGAATGAGCATTAATGAACTTTTAATGAGCATCCGGTCTATTACGTTTGAGTATTAGGAGTCTAATATATGAACATAAGATCGGTATTAGATGAACATATGTAACTAACAAAATGAGCACTAATGAATTTGTTAGTTGAAAATCACGATATTTTCATCGAGCATCAAACCTCCTTTATTGAGATGGAAATAATGGTTTATGTTAAATGAACATAAAACTCATTTCTAATGTGAATCTAATGTAGTATGATATGATTGAAGTGTGCAACCTTTTAAAGTGAGTATAAAACAGTACCAAATAAGCATACATAATTTCCAGAATGAGTATCAAAAAATTTAAAAAAACATTTTTGTGTGCTCATTCACTTTGGACGTTATACTCATTTGAATTTAACATAAAACTCATTTCTATTGTGCTCAATATGTGCTCAATATTCATTTGTGTATTGATATGACATTTTAAAATGAGCATAAAACCAATATCAAATGAGCATACGTAACTTACAAAATGAGATATAGAATAACAAAACATTAATATCTAAAATATTTTATAATTGAATAAAGATTAAATAAAAATAAAGAAAAAGAAAGAAGGAAACAACTAAAAGCAAGAAAAGAAAGAAAAGAAAATACAAAAGCAAAAAACGTGTAACTGGTTAGCATAGCACCGGCAAAACATGTAACTGATTAGACAAAACACCGTTTCGGAAAAGCAAGCAACGGAAAAGAAAAAAAAAATCAAAACAGAACTGGTGAAAAAATACAGATGCGTACGATGGACCTTGCTCAGCTCAGATGCGTACGATGGACCTTGCTGCCTAGGAGAAGTTGATAAAAATTGCAAAAATACCCGGTTGTACGGTGAGGACCGTACAACGGGTGTACGATTTATTTTACCACTACCGGTTAAGAAATTTTTAGAAATATTCATTAATCGCTTATTCAGTTATTTTGAAGCACGAAAAAACTGAATAAGAGAATAATAAATAAATGTTTCAATAATCAATATATATATATATATATGTATAGATTTTGGTTCAGGTGAGAAATGCATCTAATGTGAGAAATGAGAATGAATCTCAGCCATTGGATTTATGAAGTTGCACTAAAATTGGCTTTATGTTGCAGTAATATTTAAATTTTGCACATGTTGCACTAAAACTGTTTCATGTTGCACTAATATTTGACGGCGTTGCACCGAAATAGTTTCATGTTGCACTAGACACGTGTAATACGGATTTTTCAGAAGTATTTACAGAAATACCACCATGCTAGATTGCATATTTCAGTGCATCATGTGTTGGGTGTGTTTCGGAAAATAAAGAAAATTAATTAAAATAAATTAATTAAATAAAATGACGAAAGAAAGCAAGAAAAGAGATGGAGCAGAATTTGTCAAAGCTCGTGCTACGCACGATGTCCTTAAAACGTATTTGTTGCCTCCCACGGTGCTAGGAGCGTTGCAACAATCGTTTCCCAGGATACGATGACAACGAACTAGTGTTTGAGTACTCAAACAAAAGTTCCAGCGAACGAGAACAAAGTCTGAACACAGAAGGAATTTGCAGATTGCTAGCAGTGTGTTTTTAGAGCTAAAACGTGTATGGATTCGTGTAAAAACGTGTGTTGTTGCAAACCACCTGCCAGCCTTTATATAGGAGGATTTGTTGTGTGTAAATGGTGAATTAATGGACCTGAACGTTGGACATCAATGACCAGTCCGTTGGGCATTGAATCGTCCATGAACTGTCCATTTAACGCTGCATTAAAAGATAAGAACGTTGGGGATTAATTGTTGTAACGTTTCAGAAGTGCGAGAGAAGACCTCCATCAGAACTCCCCGGGAGGGGTTCTGATCGGAGGCCAATCAGAAGACCCCAACTCTGATCCGCGGCCATCAGAGTACCCCCAACTCTGATGGGCGGCAATCAGAATACCCCATCTCTGATGGGCGGCTATCAGAATACCCCATGAGGGGTTCTGCCATCAGAACACCAACGAGGTGTTCTGATCCGTAGGCTTCTGTCCAAGCACTTCTGCCGCTGGGAAAAAATTAAACGTTTCGGGAAGAAAACAAAATTAATCGTATGTCCGCAGGTCGCCCGCGCACGCAAGTCGCGGTTTTTCTTCTCCGAATTCGGGATTTGATTTGCACCCCCCCCTGCGCGCGTGGAGAGAGCCTTTACCCTTAAGAATCTTAACTCCATAAGGGGGGAGTCCCTTTATAAAGGGTTGCAAATCCCTTGGGTTTTCCGGTGTGGGAAATTAACACTAGAAACCCATCCTTTTTCCCCAGTTTTTCCCTTCTAACGGGTAAACTTCGAAAAGCGATTTCTCATTCACCCGTTATCCGTTTTGAGCGTACCATATATCGAATTGTAGCCCTAAGCAAGGACAATCCGAAACCACTTTGACCCGACCCAAATCGGAAGTGGACCCCACTCAAAAAATTGCCCCAAAATAGCCATTTAATGCAATTTTCCACACATTTTTCCAACATCATGAAGTGTCTTTTACTGCAACTTAGTCGAATCCAATGGCTGAGATTCATTCTCATTTCTCACCCAAAGAGTTCTTCTCACTTGAACCTTACCCGATATATATATATATATATATATATATATATATATATATATATATATATATATATATAGTGAGCGGTCCTGGTAAGAACAGATCTTAGGAGAAAAATGAGAACGAATCTGGACCGTTGGATTGTATTATGTGGAACCAAATTGTGCATTTGGTGAAACTGAAATGTGCATTAAATGATATTGAAATGTGCAAGATAAAAATTTAAACTCATGTGTGCATTAGATTAAACTGATATGTGCGAAAACAAAGTGCAAAAATAACATCACATCGTACTTTTTATTCTGCACATTTCAGCTTCACCTAGTGCACATTTCAATTCCACGTAATGCACAATTCAACTGCACATAATGCCACTCTATCGTACCCTTTGTGATGCACACATTTCAATTTCACCTAATGCACATTACAGTTTTATCTAATGCACACTGAATTTCACTTGAGGCAAATCTAAAGGTCCAGATTCGTTCTCATTGTTCTCATAAGATCGTGTTCTCATCAGTTTTCTCATTTTTCTCATGAGAAAAATGAGAACGAATCTGGACCGTTAGATTTGCCTCAAGTGAAATTCAGTATGCATTAGATGAAACTGTAATGTGCATTAGGTGAAATTGAAATGTGCATCACAAAGGGTACGATAGAGTGGCATTATGTGCAGTTGAATTGTGCATTACGTGAAATTGAAATGTGCACTAGGTGAAGCTGAAATGTGCAGAATAAAAAGTACGATGTGATGTTATTTTTGTACTTTTTTTTCGCACATATCAGTTTCATCTAATGCACACTTGAGTTTAAATTTTTATCTTGCACATTTCAAAATCATTTAATGCACATTTCAGTTTCACCAAATGCACAATTTGGTTTCACATAATACAATCCAACGGTCCAGATTCGTTCTCATTTTTCTCCTAAGATCTGTTCTTACCGGAACCGCTCCCTGTATATATATATATATATATATATATATATATATATATATATATATATATATATATATATATATATATATAGGGAATGGTTCAGGTGAGAACACTCTCCTAGGAGAGAAATGAGAACGAAATCTAACCAACCATGTTATAAATCGCACGGCTTAAAACAAAGATTAAATAGAATGTCAAGATCGGCTATAACACCCGCGGTCGGAGGGAAAATAGGAAACAATGTATACGTTTAATAACTAAATGGCACTTTTGTACAAGACTCAAAGTCGTGGATGGAAAGCACGATTACTTTATGGAAACATGTCATGCTTGTTTCCTAATGATTAGGGAAACTAATTCCTTTACGTGATACCCAAAATACGTACTTTTTTTCAATTTGGTTATTGAAATCATTTTTTTAAATCAATTATAATTTTATTTCTTTGTATGAATCACGTCTTCAAGGTTTGCATTAAAATTTTGTACCTATGCACTTTTATTCAAAACACTCTGCACAAGTTATATCACATA